AGAAGACTCTCATGTTCACCATTATATGGAAAAGACTTAAACTAAAATTGAAAAGAAATTTTGAATGACAATCATGAAGATTCCCGCCTAGATATCGCCTAACCCTATTTAAATAATGCAAGGGTTAAAAAAAATAAACATATATAATGCAATATATACAATTTGTTTAGGATTTTAATTAATAATTAATCAGATTCGATATTGGGGGCTCCTGTGATGTAACGAAATTATCTCAGTATTCTGTCACGAAGTCAACTCTTCAAATTTTATTTTTAAGCAACTTTTCGACCTTTTAGGTCATAATTTCAGTCTAGTGCCATTGGTTTGGGGACGGTATTTACAACTTAAAAAAACTGTTAAAAATATGTGTGGTTATGCCAGAATGTTTTTTAAATTGTTAAATAAGTAGCGCAATCACCCCGAGTTGCTTACGCATCGATTTTCGCTGGATGGCAAAAGTACCCTGTGCTCCGAGTACGAGATTGATTTGAAAGACGGACGTCAGATGGTATTAGCGAAACGTTTTGTTAAAATGTCAACATTCTGCCTTCCTATCGTCAAAAATGGCTGCTTCAAATGCTTTTGAGAGCCGACAGACAAAATTTTCACACCAATAGTTTTAGTAAAAAGACAATTGTTTTTCACAACTTGACTGAGAGCTTTACGTGCACGGCGCCTTGTCTTGATTCTTTTGTGTTTGACTACTGAGACGAAATGAACACAAATTAGCCATTTTGTCAAAAAGGACTGTGCAATACAGGGGAGGTTGCGAATACAGGGGAGGTTGCGAATCCAGAGATGGTGGGTTGGGAGTAGAATAACTTTATGTGTTTAAAGGGGAGGGGGAAAGGTCTAAAATTAACTAGAGCTTTAATTGGAAAACGAAAAAATTAATTGTCAGATTCTGTGCTTTTTGGTTAAATACTTATTGAAGTGGAAAACTTCTCATTTTTCCCCTAAAAATGTTGTGTTTATCTTTCTGAGGGGCTGTAAGGAATAACTTGTGTGTCCGCAATAAAGGGAGGATTTTTTTTTGTTGGGAATTGCTGAATGATGAATTGTATGTCATTCGTGCGGGAACCCTGTGCATTTTGGTTTTGGGCTAGGTTTCCCATAGCGAATCCAAGCCATATATTGAAATAAACTAAATTGCCGATTGTTGAGAACTGTTTTCGCTATAATATCAGCTTTAAAAAATGCTTTAGAAAATCGCCAAAAACCAGTCCAAACGTACTTCCAATAAGTTAAGACAGGAGCCCATTACTAGGAGCCTTCCTCTTCTTCGTAAGCTCTTGGAACGGCATTTACCCCTCTTGGTGCTATTTTTAGAATTGCTCATTATAAATTCAGCGTAAAACAGCCAATCAGAAAGCGACTTGAACAATAGGTTTCTGAATGACCGACGGCCGCCGGTCGATCGCCGGCGAGGAAGATCTTAGTACTAGACTATTTCAAAATTCATTTTCAGGATGTTTAAAGTTAACTTTTAGTAGAAATATGTCCCAAAAAAGGAAAGCAGAATCACCTTTCGCTTCATGTTTAGCCGATGAGGAAGACAGTGATAGAAACAGGTATAATTACTCTTGGGAATACAGGGGAAAATCTGGAGAAAAACCAACAACCAACAATTAAGCTTATGAACTTTTCATTGAGCAACCGAAGACCAACAAAATTCACTGATTGGACAGCAAAAGCAACACAAATCGACTCAAATCACACTCTGGATCTTTAACTGATAACCAGAATTTGAAATCAAATGGCTGTTGAAGACAAGGAACGAAGCGAATTGTACAAAAGCGGAAANACATGACTGAAGCAAGTAACTTAACTTAAGCTTGCAAATTTTTACATGCAAATGGACATTGAATGGAACTCTTTTTGGGTTGACTAATTTATATGACCATAAAACAACAACATTTTAGAGGACTGTTCAAGAAAAAAGGCGCCGAAATTCATTTGTGAAGAGTTTTTGTTTAGATGCAAAATATTGTACAAAACTGTCACAAACAAATTTATTAAATGCAAATTTTACATTTGTGATGTCACATTTTTTAGATGAAGAACTCATTATAAGAATAGATTATTTTGTGTTCACTGTCATGCTTTTTGATCAGATTCGTCGGTAAAAGAAACCAGAAATGTCAATTCTTTCATGTATGAGCTTTTTCGCTTATTTTTTATATCTTTTCACTATCTTTAGACATTTAAATATAATAGTTAATGGTGCCATTGAACCTTTGTTGCAAAATAGTTTTTGTAAAGCGAAAATTTCTTCACTTGTACAACTTAAAATTCAGAATCTAAAAACACCTGATAGCGGCGGCCGGCGGGGGCTCTTCATCTCAATAAGCACAAGGGGAATGGCGGGAAAATCTAAAAATATAGCACCAAGAGGGGTAAATGCCGTTCCACAAGCTCATGGGAAGAGTAATGTGCTCCTGGTTAAGATTACCATATATGGTTGCTAAACGAAGGACAACTTTTCTGAGGCAATTCTTTGACTATGTTCCTGTAAATAATGTCAGCTCCCTTAAAAAAAGGCTTAAAATGGACTCAAAAATGTCGACAGCTCTCTTGTACAGAATGAAGACGCTTCAGATTGCCTATAACCGAAATTTCCTTTTAAGCGGTTATTGTAACGTATATGCAAATACAAAAGCCTAATTATGAGTCTTTTTTATATTATTTTACGAGAAAGCGACAGTATGGCTCTTCAAATCACTAGCAGTCCACTGACTCCTCTTGGCTTGGCGCCTAGAAGCCTGGCTATGACAAATTATTTCTACTAGAGATTTATATTTGCAAAATATATTTATCTCGATAATGTCAGTTCAGTCACCTTCACAAGTTAAGCTTTCGCTGGGACAGGAAGCCCGAAAAACGATATGTGATATGCGAAGAAAACTATAATGTGAGGAAAAGCAGAGAAATGAGTGTGAGAATAATTTTTACCACAATTTTTAAATTTTCTCTATTTCTGATTGGTTCTGAAAAAGTAAACACCACGATCGAAAGATTTATCTTTTTTCAGGGATTGGTATCTAATTGTTGTAGAATGAAAAAAACAAAAACAAAAACCGAGAAAGCAAATTTATGATCAGTTTGTCGTGATATGTCATCTTATTTACCAAGGTTGGCGCCATCTCATCTTCAAAATCATTATTTATGAATAACAATTTTTATGATTCCATGACGCCACTCGTGGTAAATAGGAGGACTAATACCACGAAAAACTATCAAAAGTATGTTAAATAAACATATTTTGTCGGCTCTGTTACAGTCTCATTACATATCGAGAGGTTCAAAAAGTATCCAAGAAAGTTTTAAAATTACTAGTAAAGCATATGTATGTATACGTCAAAAGTGAACTTACGATTTAACACAGATAATTTAAACAAAAATTGTCATGTATTTTGACAAGGTTTGAAAAGAAATAAAAGATTACTATAATAATTGTATAATGTTTAAGCCGATTTTGTTCATGATCGTGTTTGTAGTCACGTTCTCAATGAACCTTTCTTTCACTTGGCAGTAGTCGTACGAGCATACGCTCATTTCAGTTCATTTAACAGACAATTGATAAGATATGAGGTTTCTGAAGTTTACTCTCGTATCTCTTAGTTTACTTTCGCATCGTATCTGAGTGCAGAGCGCAGAGTACAGATTTTTAATGAATTCCATGCACGATCATTCTCTTACATTCTTAACAAATATTATTAATTTGTTATTATTGTATATAACAGTTTCAAAAAACTGTCAGAGGAAATACTTCTGAAGAACGGTTCAGTTTAATGTCATCGTTGGGTTCGATTTTGAATGGATGATTTTCAATCGGCACGTGCGCTTGATTACATTGTCAAACCAAAGCAATCAGGCATTATCGAAACTTTGCAAAAAAAAAACAACAAATGAACAACAACAACAACAACAACAAACAAACAAAAAAACAGAAAGAAAACAAAACAACACAAAAAGACAAACAAACAAATAAGAAAAAACAAACAAAAAAAAAAACAGCAGGAGCGGTATAGACTACACAGGATTGGTTAATATGGTCATGGACAGAAACCACCCATAGTAACTTTCGGTCTTGCGTTTTCTGTTCTCTCTGTCAACCTCTAGGAGTTTACCTCCAACGGCAACTAATAGTTTATTGCTCAAGGATAGCAAAAACATTGTTCTTAAGTGATGAAGGTCACACTGTACCCCCTCGTTTTTCTCAATGCAATTTAATGAGTCAAAGAGTTGCTACCTGTAAATGATCTCTTTACTTAACAATGTAAACCCCATATAGTTGAATTCATTTGAACATTTTTGAGCTATTTACTTTTACTTACTCATTATAGCACTGCATGTCAGATTAATATTTTAGCTATTAGTCAGATGCATTGTACATTATGCCAAAGAGGAGACATGAAAAAGGTTTTCTTACGTCCACTAAGCAATCACCTTACATTTTCAATGTATGAAAATAAAATGCCTGAAATACAGAATAGAGGATTTGCCGAGATTCCTGCGGAAGTCCCATAAAATTTCGAAATAGTTAGCTAGCTAGCATTCATTTTAGGATCCTTGTTCATCTTCATAAAAAGTATAACAAGCATATATGTAAGTATTTTTCAATAGTTTGCTACTGGACTGCAATGCATTATTAAAGACGAGGGCATTTCAAGTGATCGATTATTACTTAAAAAAATTAAGTTTGTAATTAAAAACCCGACAAGCGAAATTTGAAATGTGTCATGATGCATTCTTAGATCGACACTAAAAAGTAGTGCTTTTTAGATTATTTTAGCAAAGAATTAACGACCGGAATTTTTACATTAATTTGAGAGAATAGTACAAAATTGACATCCCTGTCATCGCATTGGTTAGAATGTATTTACATATGAAGCTTTCTTGGTGCTCTAGCAATGACAATCCAGTGCTAAATGATGACCAGTTCAACTCTCCGTTTCTTGTGAGAAGCCTTAGTTTTCATAAGACTAACAAAACTAAGCTTATACCTTAGCTACCTTAGCCTAGCTCAGGTCAAGAAAAAGATTGCCCCTAAGCCTAGCGCAATATAAGGTGAGTGATTTAAATATAAATAGCTATCTGATAATAATCGCACCTCTATAAAAAAATGGGGGTAATTTCGCTATTATCTCATGTTGGTTTTTTCAGACTTCAACCTTACAAATTAGATGTCGAATGTCTTCACTTGAATTAGTTTAAAATATTGCATTCGACCAACACAGATAAACAGGAAGACTTAACAATAAATGACCCTCTCCAGTCTTATTTAAAACTCCTCATTAAACTCAAAATTGGTATATTAGAAATATTACACACTTCTTAAGATCATTCTCATGAATAATCCGGTGTCCGTGATTTTAAGCTCCAATAAATCTAGCTTGTGACATTTTCTCTGGGGAAGGTAAATACTATCATGAGATTTCATTTTGTGTATTTACTTAGGGCACGACTTTAAGCGTCATAGCCATTCTTCATTCACGAAACCACTCAATTTGTTGCTTTTAAACCTTGATTTGACCTTCCTTGGACACGCGGTATATTTTCTTCCTGTATGATTGTAAGAGTCAACTACTTCTTGGTGCTGACATAGCCGTTTAAGGGTTTTAACTGTATCTGTTTTTTTTGAGGGTGTTTTGTCGGCATTATATTTTTCACGCCCCCACAAATCCACACCTTAACCATGATTACGATATAGGGCAAACGTTTATTCATATATAATTGATTTTGTTTTCCTTAAATTTTACAATGCTATTGTATTCCTCGACGACATTTCAGTATAAATCTAATATCTGCCGTTTGGCTATTGTTTCACCTGTCTTAAGATTTGTTTTAAAAACGAAGTTTTGTGATCTGAAACATAAGTGTTACACTTTCTTTTTCGGTTCTCCTTTTTAAAAGTAAAATTTTGTCAGACATTTTTATTTACTGAAACGATTGTGCTCAAGACGTCAAATTAGATTTTACATTCAAAAAATACTTTTATCTAAATCAATTAGCAGAATAATGTCTTTTTAAATCTACTTCTTTTGCTTAGTTGTAATTAAAAACAGACACCAATCTTTTGTATTTTGTTCTTCGTGTCAGTCAAATATTCGTCGTTAATATGTCGACCGATGTTTTTTTTATGAAATTTCGTCGTTTGCATCCAAGTCACCTTCAGACTAGTTTGTTTAGACAGACTCTCGCTCCAGCTTTTCTTATAGATAGTCAATAGCAGTGAATTAGTGGCAATACCACCTTGCGTTATTAAATGGGATCAATCTCGGAATCTGATGTGCACTGCTCTTCCGGTACGTTTTCAGTTCAAATCGGATCAAGAAAAGCAATTGACTGTAGCAAGATTGATGCAAATGCTAGAAGTTCTAGGTACACGTAGCTTGGAGCTATATAAACAGCACTTGTAATATTCCTAAACCTGTTCCTGTGTTATTAAAGGAACAAACGAATAACAGATGTCTATAGTGATTATAACACAATTAGCTGTATGTCAACAAGGGATTTACTTCATAAATTTTCACTACTTTTATATTGATCTGATTGGTCTGTAAAAATAACATAAATTTAGGTCACAGCAATACCATGACGTCACAGCTGTGCATGTGGTTTTGACTGTATAAGTCTCATAACGCATCGTGACAGTGTTGAGAGTACGTTTGCGTACGTGCTGAAGAAATATGCATAGTGAATATATTTAAAGGAGCCCAGCCGTTATAGTGTTTGCCTCCTCTACTGAATAAGGAGTATACTACATTTGGTTTATTCTACTCAGAAAACTTAGATTAAAGCGTCTAAATCATCATATTATACAGGGAAATCTCATTACAAGCCGGCTGTGCTCCACTGCTAATGTAGGTAGTCCAATGAAAGTCAAATGGATATATATAATATATACTTTTTATAAAACTTTTCAATTCCTTTGTAAACGGCCATGCTGAATTTATACTCGACTTTTGAGCCATTCTAATTTAAAGGATATAGTCAAGGATGTTTTTTAGCAAGTTATGTTATGATTCAAAGATGATTTTTATTGGAGGAGACACTGTAGATCAAAATTTAAATCACAGCGTGCAGTAGGCTAGCGATGTCTTGATAAAGATACAGACGAGGGAATAATATATGCGGCCTAAACCACTTCAATCCAATGAACTATATTTCACTTTTTTTCTTTATTAAATTGCCCAACCCACTTGTTCGTTGCTAAGCAACAATGATACATAGTATGTACTTATATAATACACAATCAAAACTCTCTCAATTGATGTCGAGCAATGTTGACGTCCCAGCACACTGAAACAATACGAGCTTAATGCCATTTTATCTCGATGACAGAGCTGATTAACATGGCCACTTTATGCTTGTTTTTCTTGTTAAAAGGATGTAGAATGTGACAGATTGTGCAAGATAAGAAGTATAAACATGTACGAATATACGTCAGATGCGTAATATTTATCTGTACCGCAGCCTTCCGCTTAGTGCATACTTTTCGCTTTAATGCTATAAATACTATTGGTCCTTGTATTGCCTGAACTTATTCCCATCATTATAATACGTATGTTTGGAGGAGTCTTTTTAGCTAATTCGTTCCATTCTGACATGGAATGTTTTAAGTTTTGTTTGTAATATAAAAGGTATGGGCATGTGTGGCCGTAGGGCCTTTTCCAATTTCATTATAAGCATGTGGTACAATGTCCTGTCCACCGGTAAACTGAATATCTAAAACCGCGAATGTTTCCAAGTCGTTCCGACACACTCAGCTTTAATTCACATACATTTCTTTTTGAGTTAAGAGGAAATCGAAAAAATGGAACAGTTGGTCAAAAGGGATCATGATGTCATATTCGGTTCTGTGATTCATCGTTTATAATTCTATGTGATTCAAGATTTCAAGTAACCCGATTAATGATGTCGTAAATTTTGGAATGATCGTGCTCGGGACCTTAAGTGCCCTACCAGATAATAGCCTTATATTTAATATCGGAAATCTGCTCTTAGAAGATTAGTATTGTTTGCACGTCACTTCAATTAGGACACAGTGAAATGCACTGAGATGCAGATAAAAGGCTTTCATTACAGGAACTAAAAAAGTTTATTTCCCTAAAGAAGACCGGGAAGAACAACCATACCGCGTTTGCTGTTAACCCCATAACGGATACAAGAAACCGTTGACAAAGAGAACAAAAATTGAAACAACTGACTACCTCTACAATAATCTATGTTTGGATCTTTTTCAGAAGTTCCCGAAATGAACAGCAACGATTCTACTGCAAAGCCACAGAACGGGTCTGGTGGCATTACAGTTCCAGACTGCCTATATCAAGTCGATACAGGCTTAGAAGTTGCTTTTAAAGTAATAGCGTTTTCTTTGGTACTATTCTTGGCTTTAATTGGCAACACTTTGGTCGTCTGGGTCGTCCATAAAAGCACTTCAATGCGCAAGAAGCCTATCAATCTCTTCATCGTCAACCTTGCTGTGTCTGACCTTTTGCTGGCTCTCTTTGTTATTCCTCGAATCATTACTGAAACTGTTTTGTATTCAGGAATATGGCTAGTCAATGGCACCGCTGGGTTAGCATTATGCAGGATCGTCATTTTCATCCAGGATGTTGCTACTGCCGTCTCTCTGCAAAGCCTTGTGATCATCGCCTTTGATCGGTTTTGCGCCGTTGTTTATCCACTTCGAATAGCAACAATGCCATGCACAACTCGCTTGGTTGTCATACCCATGACGTGGGTCGTCGCTTGTGCACTCCATTCGCCTGACCTCTTTATCTACAAACTCTTACCAATGGACAATAATACCTCAAAATGTGCTCAAGTTTGGTCAACGGACAAAGAAGAGCATGAGAAGATTGCAAGCAGATACTATATGGCAATTTTCTGCCTGTTCGTCATAATCCCAATGATTCTGCTTACCGTGCTTTATGCGTCGATATTCATTCACTTGAGAAGGAGAGGAAAGATGACTGATTTGCACACTTCAGGCTTGCAGGTCGGAAAGCGCAAAGAACAAGAATGGAATGTATTAAAGATGGCGCTGGCAATTGTCCTCGGATTCGCCGTCTGCTACGGGCCATTCAACGCTCTAATCTTTTTGAGGATTTTCAAGTGGAACATATGGATTCCTGTGTGCCGAATTAAAACGCTTTATTTCGTCACAACATTCCTTGTTTATTTCAACACAGCTTTGAATCCAATTATCTATTTTGCGTTCAGTGAGAACTTTAGACTTGGATTCAAGCGAGTTTTTACTCATCACTCAAAAAATAGTTCAACAGCAAAGGTCTTTCTTACAAGCGTGAAAAACAAGATGCGTGGAGAGGGTACAAATTGCGAAAGCACGCATAAAGTAAAGACAACGTGCCATGTTCTTGATACGCATTTGTAAGTGAGCGATAAAATCTAAATGATTGTTGGCGACACAAGCCTTTAGAAGAACTGGGCAATGATATGGCAATTCTTTATCAAAGGTATCTCTATTCGGCAGCTTCGTTTGTGGGGGTCTTGGTCAGTCACAACAGTCCAAGTGCGAGATATTTGCACATCATATCATGGCACTACTTAATATTTCTGAAATAACTAAATGACCATGAACAACGGATCGAAAATGTAGACAGCATCCGTGTCATTATTTAGATTATGAGGACCGAATGCATCTCGTATGGTCGGCAAGGCCTCTAGCAGAGTTAAAATACAGTTTAATTAATGTTTTAGCGATTGTGGCTTCGACGCTGACGATAAGAGAATCGCGTACATTATACTCTTCAAAACATTTTTTGGTTATCGCCGCAAATGCCCAACCCATAAACTCTATAGTGGACAGTCGCTGTCATCATCCAAACCTACTGATCGATAACCAGTATAAATGACTAAGCAATAATGTAGTTGCTATTCGGGGATATCTATGGAGTTATCATTTCTTTAGCTATAATAGTATGGCCTCGAGATAGAAGATACAAAAATCTTGTGTAAATTGAAATCAAACAGCTGTTTTTTTCATTTAAAACGTATTGAGCTTTTCGGGAAGTGCCATTTCGGGGTGCCACGGGAAAAGAGGGTCTTCTAAGGATATTTCAAACAAAGGATTTTTCTTTCAAGAATAATTATGCGCTTACGAAGTTAATTTCGACTGGAACTTTTAGATCCTGGGATTTATAACAGAATATAAAAATGGGAACGATTGACATTGAAATATTAAAAAAGCAATAAATCTGGCTAATGGTCTCAATATATCAAATCATAGCGTGGGGAATTAAAAAGCCAGACTAGGTATGATAATAAAATTTCTGTTTTTCAAATTTAACATTCAGCGATAAGTCTTGGGAAGATAAAAATGTTAATTAAGAGTAGAATATTTAGATTAAATGTTAATAAAATCATCACGAACTGTATCGGCTTCACTTTATGGAGTCATCAACAGGAAGCTAACTAGTTATAACCACGTTTCTTGTTTTATTCATTTAACTGATATATGCTTGATATTAATCATTGTCTGCGTCATGCAGCAGAGGAAACTATTTCAATGTTTATTCCACAAGTAGTCGCCGTCAGTATAATAAGCTGTGGAAAAATTAAACAACAGAGTAATCATTATTTAAGGGGGATTTCTTTGTAATATAGTGGGTACATCAATACTGGTGTTATATAACTAAGGTTTACGAGAAAATATATTAGAAATGAAGAAATATACATAAAACTGTTGCGGTACTACCAACCAACAAATGTTGGACTAATTAAAGTGACCATCCTCATTTCACCACAGAAGTACCGCTGAACGTGTGTCATAAACAAGGCGTTTGTATTATGAATAGTAAAAACTTAGAGAGAAAATAAATATCTTCGGTAAAAAGATGTTGAAGCTAGAATACAATTCCTTTATAAAACGATTAATGATAAGCGCGGCATAATTGGCGTAGAAGCATAGACATGGTTTAATTGACGCTACTGTCGTCTTTGCAAAAGCGCGAATTTGAAAACAAAGATGAAACAACAAAACTTGGAATAAACTCGTCTATATTATAAAACAGCGCGTCAAAAGCATAAATATTTCCTGTGATGTTCTATTTTCTATGACAACGTTTCTGCAAGTAGGTGTAAATAAGTAAATTAGATAAATTAAATCGCAAAATTCAATTTGAGCTTCAACTGAAGAAGATTAAACGAAATACGTCTTAAAGACAAAAATGCTTGAATTTTAGTACGTAAAGGACAAAATAGACAAAATATAATTTACATTAGGCGAATGGTATATAAAAATAACAAAACAAAACATAAATACAAAATCAAATGGAAATCAGTAGAAATATAATATTAAAAATTAACAACAGAGAGATTAAAATGAACAAATAAAAGTAGATTTGCATTTGGGCTAAACTATACCACATGGGTGGACAATTTAAAGATGTATGACTCTTTTGTACGTAGATCCCCCGTAAAGTTAATGACCATTTGTTATTTATAGCATGTTCGTGTTACCTGCAAAAACCTTTTACTTCGGTCATATTATATCACTTCTAAAATTCCATGCAATGTAAAGTAGCATCATGGAGGATATGAGTGTTAAGAAGTTTAATGAAGACGATAAATATTATAATGACAATGATGCCTATTCACAACATTAAAAAAAGTACGATATGTCACGGTCACCGACCAGGACATTGGGGACGAAGCACTTAAACGAGGTCTCAAAGGCCGGTCTCCTTATAATAAAAAAATATTTAAATTCTATGGTGCTTTGCAGGAGTTCTTTGTCATAAATAGCATACCAATACATCTTTCGAATTTTGACACTATCATATATGCGATCTTCGTGATGTGTTTTTTAGATGTAAGGCCTTTGAGGTCTCGTTTCCACGATTCCACGATTCGAGTCCTCCGATATTGACATTCGTGAACTACCGCCATTTCTAATTGAAAGTCGTGTTTGATGTTCAGCAACACACTCATCGATTATTGTTACAATCAATATTTAACCAAGTCCCAGGCTTGACATTAAAAACATGACTGAATAGTTTCTCATTGTTGTACAGGTGCGCTTCAAAACTTCTGTGCGCCTGTAATAATGAAAATAGTGGTGAACGACATGTGAATTGAAAGTGATATTGAATGAAAAGAAAGATAGATAGAGAAAGAGAAATAGAAAGAAAGAAAGAAAATAGAAGAAACAACAACAAATTTCAGACATTATTTATAAAATACTGAAGGAACTTGACGCTGTACCTGACGTCATTACGCAAGTTGTCCATTAAATCATATAATTGCTAAAATACGATCCGCTAAAATCAATTGACCAACCGAGTGCACATGAAGCCTTTTAGAACAAATGCACATGAAGCCTTTTAGAAAAAATAATTATTACCACACAGCTGGAGAACATGCTGGGAAGCACTTTTGTGAAGGGAAAAAAAGTGTTGTCTTAGAGGAGATTATTCTTTTTGTTAACACAAACAGTGCAAAAAGTCAGCGCAATTCCGTTTTTGGCGTCACCTCATTTGCATTCAAACGTTTCAAATAATTTAAGTAATGGGCCGAGTAAGAAGCAGGCAAGCAAACGGCAATGGAATGCATGAAGGTGCTAATTGTGCATTGTATAATCCATCTATCTCATTGGTTAAAACATTAAAATCTGACATAATTTCAAAAGTAATCGCACTTTTTAATACTTTATTTAATATCTGATTCCGACTTCATAAAAGCTTTCCTTAGCTTTAATATTAATAGCAATTCTATGTGGGGAACATAGCAAATTAGAAGCATCTTTTGGTAATTGTTTTGAGTGCTTATGATTGGACAAGATCTTTTGAAACTTTGAGAGTTTATCCACATTTTATTTTAAAAATGTGCTACACATAGGTTGATATATAATCAGTG